AGAGGAGTGGGGATTACAGATCTGGCACTAAAATTTCACCAGCCATGTAGCTGTCCTCACCAACACCACCAACAACAAAAAAAAATCCCCTGGTTGCAGCTTTCCCAGAGAGTCCCTGCCTCTTGCCGCCCCGCGCAGTCGAACAGCTCTGCTGGCAGCACGGCCAACTTGCGGAAGGAGCGCAGCAGCAACCTACACGCCACTCCCTCAACCCACCAACCTTCCCGCGCTTCACTGACCATCTGCGTCTCAGTGGGCTGCTCGACTACAGGCAGCAGCGCCCAACGAGTCCTGGGCGAATCGGGGGGGATGGAGGTGGGAGGGGTGAGTGCTCAATTCTGTCGGTGTCCCAGAGGCTGAGGGAGACTCCGACACCATTCCCATTGGGAATCTCACAAAGTCATGTATGTGGACCCCCTCCTGAGGAGGTGGGCATGGGTCACAGATCAGGTACCAACTTGATCAGTGACAGATCAGGGCCAATGGCTGGAGGGTGGAGGAGGGTATCTCTGCTGACTGACACCCTGAACCTACTCGAGAAACACCTACTAATCCCCTCACCAGACCGATTCCCACCCTCAACACCAACTTATAGTGTGAGACAGGAGAGAAAGAGCCCGCTCCCTTGGTGCCGACCCTCCGACGGCGCCCGTTCCCCCGACGGCGCCCGTGTCCCTCACCAACTACTCCCACGGTGATGGTCATCTTGACATCGCGGCTGCGGCTGTAGCTTCCCAGCAGCCTCATCAGGTTGTCCGCTCCCACGCACGCGCTGCTGTGCAGCAGGTCCGAGCACGCATGCTCCACTGGAACTTTGCTGCGATGCTGTCGGGACGTACGGAAGACCAGGTTACAGAGCCCCATCCACGTCCTCGCAAACAGACCCGAGATGTGGCACTGAGCCCCGATAGTTACCCCTCAACGAGTCAGGGGCGGGGGGGGGAGCCGATTGAGCGGATCGGGGTAAAGAACCAGAGGGGGGGACGGGTGGGGGGGGAACGGGGTAGAGAACCAGGGGGGGAGACGGATCGGGGGGGAATGGGATACAGAACCAGAGGGGGAACTGGATTGTTGAAGGACTTTTTAAAAGCAAGTTTGCCAACACTCACTCCAAGTTTTGTTTACACTACAG